ATGTAAATTCATTTGTTTGTTTTTTCTCTTGGTCCGTGGACATCAGCGGAGGATATTCAGCAAGAAAGCGAATACACCGAGCATTACGACATCGCGACTCAGAGACACTTGGACAGCTTGACGAAGTCTGAATCGTTGGAGTCTTCGCCGTTGACGAATTCCTCCTTGGAGAATAACGAAAGGTGATTAATTAATAAATTTCCAATTGCTTGTATCGAGTCTTCTTCTCTTCGATTCGAGAAGAAGAAACGATCTCGATACGAAGGATTATCCGAAATGAACGAAACTCGACAGAGCAAAGTTTCGAGATTTCTCGATTGTTTCGCGTCGAGAAGTATCGAAGCCAGGTTCGTTCCCTAACGTCAGCGTTCGTAACGCGGTCCGCCGAGACGCCGTAAAGAACCGTTTCTTCCTGCCGATGATACTGTAACAACCTTTCAATATTCCACTGTGCAGCAAGTGCCGAGAGGCTGTGGCGTTCGCCAAAGCTGAATCGGCGTCGCATCTGTCCCTGCAGAGCAAGGATCCGGAGGCAGAGGGTCGGCTCGGTGCCCCTCCGAGACCAGGTGATCAAACTCACGCACGAATCGTGCTTTCTAACAATTTCAATCCTCATCACGGTGTAATGAAACAAACAGGTACGATCGCCGAACGCGAGCACAGAAAGTGGGAGAATGCGCCGCCGATCGAGAACAATCCCTACAGCCAGGAGAACATCCAAAAGAGGCTATGGGAGAGGCAGTACTCGAGGAGATCGTCAGACATTCCCGGGTAAGATTTATAATAATCTCTGCGCGATCGCGTGAACTTTCTCAAGATTGATTTTCTTTCATCGATGATATCTTTGTGCATTTCAGAATTCACGCCGAATTGCCGAAGAGCAACGGGACGGATTTGGAAGTCGTGCTGACGCCCCATGAACCGGATATCAAAAGGTAATATCCACGATTCTACCAAGGAAATTTGTTAGACACGTGTTAAACACTCTCCATAATATAGAAAGATAAATATATAATAAAATAATTATTGCGATAGGTTCGGCAGGGACTACTACATCAACGATTCAAGATCGTCAGGCAACGAGAAGGGGAGAAGATCGGCGGTGTCGAGCTCGAGCAGACCGAGCAGCTCGTTGTCCCAACGATCAAGCTCCAACGGGATAGCAGACCAGGATCAACAGGTGAGTTTCCAGCTCGAAAAGTTCGAGGAGGCTTCCCTGCGCGGCAGTCTTTCTAGATGGACGTATCGCGATCCGTACTCCAGCCCGCAATTTGCCGTCAACCCTCTTCTGCTTATGGAGCTCGATGTACCAACGGAACCATCTGACCGTGATCACGAAAAGATCGACCACTCGAACGAAACGTTTCTACTTAGCGATACACCAGACAGCGTAGAACGCGCAGGAAACGTGACAGAACAAACCAAAGCAATCGTAGATGATAACAAAGAAGCTGAATATCTTGACATCAACGGCCTCGATGATATTCCGACACTTGCATCGAACGAATTGTCACGAAAGGTCGCGTACAATCCGCTTTACGAGTCCGAGAAAAATCAGAGATCAGATCACGACTCGGGAACGTTCTCCGTCGATACGAACCAAGCGGAGGATAATAGAAAGCAGGAGGAGGATCGTTGGAAGAGATTGTGGATCGATGACGATCAAGAACGATCAAGCACGAAGAACGACCAAATTCTGTCGTTCAATGGAAAGAGATACTGGACATTGAATGGCTGCAAGTATCACACGTTCGGTGGGATAAAGAATTCTTTCAACGAGGCCGTGGAAGATTCTGACGAAGACAACTCGAAGATGGAAGCACGCGGCGAGCCGTGCTTCGATATCGTTGATTTCGGTAAATTCGAGTTCCACACGTTCGGCGGTATAAAGAAGAGCAAGAGGATCGATGGGAAAGGGATGCCTATGTACAGACGAGTGACACTGACAATGAGATCGAGTTGCAAAAAGACCAAAGGGATGAGATGGTCGCGCAGCGATTCCCTCTTGTACAAGTGCGAATCGAATGAGAATGTGGATCGACAGTCCGATTGGCAGAGCGATTGGGAAAGTGGCAGCACCGAGGAGAAAGATACGATAAAATATCTCGATGTGAACAAGAAAAGGAGATGCAATAATAAGTTGTGCAAAAGGCAAACGAAGGCGGTGTATTGTTCGTCACGTCGATCGTCGTCCTCGGACGAGTCTTGGCAAGACGAAGACGACGCGCAACCGACTGACAAAACGATAATGCGAAAATTTCCACGGGACACATTGTCGAGGAAAGGATTGAAGTCGCGCTCGAATTCGGACAACGATTCCAATTATTACTTTTTAAACACGTCCAGAAGGAAGGTGTTCGACGGTAGCCTGACGAGAGGCAGATGTCAGAAACGATCCTCGGACAATAACGAAAGTCTGAAATTGGAGCCGCCTATCGTGCCGGAGGTCGTGGAGAAAACTTTCGAAACGTTGCGGGATCTTCGACGGGGCAAAGGGAAGAAAAAGAAGCGCGAAAGTTCCGTGTCGAGCGAACGAAAAAAGATAGGTGTGAGAAGTTTGAGCGATCTGACGATATGGTGAAAAGTATAGTTATTCGATTAATTAATTATCCCTTCTGTCTGAGAAAACCTAAGGTCTTCCGGCCACACGGTGCAGAAGTTTGTTCTTTTATTACGTCGCACGCAGTGCCATATTGTTAACACGAAACACAAAAGTTCCTCGATAAACAAGCCCAAAAAACGAATCAAAGATTTTGCGAATTTTATAAAGTTTTTCCTCGAATTTTATAAAGTTTACTGTACAAAGGAGTGTGTATATTGTATAACTGTCTTAAATATATTGGTAATCGTAACGAACGATGATACATGTGACTTTACTTGAATTGTGCATGACACACGGTGATAGGCCTCTTTATCCCTACAGTTCAAACCTCGCATAACAAATTAGTTTGTCATTACTATTTTCATTACTATCTTTATTAGTTTTAACACGGTCGTAAGATTCGTAACAACTTCGAGTAATTGTGGTGTAATAGTTAAAGAAGAGTTAGTATGTCCTGTGAGACGAAATTTTCTCGACTCTTTCTTGTAGATCGCATGTAATAATATATCGGATCTTGTATAGTATAAAACGATTGTTCTCTCTTGTATATAATTTACATCTAGATCGTAAGAAAGGCCGCTTAAAGAATAATACCGAAACATGTTAATTGAAACCATTCTGTTAATACGAAGTCGTTCTATGCGCACTGCACATGCATGACCGCTGTGAAAAATGCCTTTTTTCCAATCGGTAAGTACCGTTTACATGCATTTCCAATTCAATGCATTCTAACTAACAAACCGTGA